ACTGGCTCCCTTGCATTGCTGAACGTCTTCTGCAAAAAGCATAATTTACTTTCTGCTTGGGGGGGGGGAGCATAGCAAAATGGGATTCAGCTGTCACGTAAATCATTCAGTGATATTTTTATTAAGTAGCAGAAAGTAAAAAGTTTATTTGTAGCCTTTCTTTCTTTCTTTTTTGACTGTCACACTGTCCTCGAAATTCAGCTTGGGTGAAGGGTTAGGGTGGAATAGTGGCGAGGGAGCATCCTTGGTTGACGTTGGGTTGCAGGGGAGATCTGTCTCATTAAGCACTGAAGGAAACAGAGGTTAGCAGGTATAATGTTGTTAGACTTCGGCTAATGTGAATGTGGCTGTGACCTCCCAGATAGATCAAAGCCTAATCTCTCTGACAGCTACAAGATGACATGGCTTGCCACAGGCCTTCTGCTGCTCCTCGCGGAAGCTCTTTTGTCTGCAAAGCACGCCTGATAGCTAGAAGTATATTTTTAAAGATGAACAGGTAGAAGTAAAGGGCTGTCTTTTGACATTTTAACTAATCCCTTCTAGCCTGTGGTTTACTGCACATTTAGGATATTTGCTAGCAGGAGACGCTGGCTTTTCCACATATGCACCATGTCATGTTGAATCGGGTGTCACTTTGATGCCTGATAATGCAGACTTATACAGTGAAATGGATTCTGATTGCATTAAAGTGACGTGTGTTGACCTTTTACCTGTTATGTGATTTACAAGGAATGCTTAACCCTTAACAAGCAAACACAGGGTTTTTTCTTTTTTCTTTTCTTTTTTAAGAGCAGGAGAAAGTGGTTGTTTTCTAGCGCTGTTGTTAAACACTAATGGATTCTTCTTATCTTACAGTTTGTGTAGGCTAGGAATCAGCAAATGGTCTTGAGAACACTCTGTAACTATTGTGTAAAAGTAAAGTGCATAATAGACTGTTGCGCGTAAATAAAGTGAGCCAGTGGGTTTTGTGTGCCACCAAGAGGTTCGGGCAGATCACCACCCATTGGACAGCTCTTCTGTACAAGACCAACTGAAATTTCAGTTTGGTTTGCAAAGAAAAACTTCCCAGGGGACTTGTGACCCCATGGTGAATAGTAATATGGACCCTGGAGGTCCTCACACTCCAAAATGTCTTGTGCTTGCCTTGAAGGTCAGTGATGTATTTTTTAAAAAAGATACAAACTACAACAAGGTATATGTTTAAGCATAGCAATGGGAACCTTAAATTGACATTTCACATATAGACACAAAATATATCCAGAGCAGTGGTCGCCAACTTTTTTGAGCCTCTGGGTGACTTTGGAATTCTGACACATCATGGCTGCTGCAGGAGGCGGAGCTAGTCACAAAATGGCTGCCCTTCAGTCACACAGTGAAGCTCCACGGGCTGCCTAAGCTGTGGCTTAAAAAATTCTGCACAGCCAGTTAAAGCTCCAGTAGCCCATCGGAAGCCCTGCTAAGCAAAAAACCCACCTGCCTACTTTCCGAAAACCCTTGGCAGGCAGCAGCAAAAGTACCGGTGGGCCCTAGGGCACCCACAGGCACTGCGTTGGGGACCCCTGATCCAGTGGGTGGCTTTCAGTTTGCTCCCTAATCATTTGGAAGTTCCAGAATTTAAGCCATGATCCTGAATACTCTGCTTGGAAGTCCGTTTCATCGAAGCAGACAGGGTTTACTCCTAAGCAGTTGTGTTAGGGTTAATGCCTTAACGTTGGGTCTGAATAACTGAAAACCACACGTAGTTCAGCTTTGTATATGAAAACGTGGGTAAAGGGTGCAGCACTTGCTAAAGTTACTGGGAGCCTAGTCTGGAGTAAGTGGTTTGTGGATTGTATCTCAGATACATAGTTGGGGACCTCAATTTCTGTGCAATGGCTGCCCTCTCAGGATCTAGGCATGGAACAGGGGTCCGTGGGGGGGGGAGGATTTTTTGTGAATTTCGTGCATTGTACAGGTGGTTGGACTAGATGACCCTGGAGATCCCTTCCAACTCTGTGATTTTAACCCTCCCTTGCCTGCCAGTTCCTTTCTGCCATGCATAGCCTCGTTCCTGCTTTCCAGTTCTGCCTCCACCCTACTTTCAGCTTTTCTCTTCCTGTCTCTGCCATTCTGTATTTCCTCAGGGTACAGCTCTTCAGATTACTGTGCCCCAGTTCCCTTGGCTGTCCTGACTCTTTGCCAGTGTCCCTCGCACTCCTCCTGCCCGCCCTTCGCATGCAGCCCCTTAACCACTGTGGATTCTCTTCAGTGCCCTTCCTTTCTATTTCCCCTGCCCTTTTCACCAAACCTAATTCTCCTTCTGCCCTTCCTTCACTCCATTGTCCGCTTTGCACCCCCTCTTCGGCTTCCCGGTCTCCTGCCCCTTAGCTTCCCTCAGGGCCTTGTCCTCTGTGCAGACTTTTAATCCGTACCAAACTGACGACTTTCCCTTCCCTCATAGCCTCAGGACTGCAGGGCAAACCACCCTTGAGCCAGTGCAGCACCTCAGCCAATCAGTGTCAGAGTGAAATACAATATGGATTTTTATTCCTGTATCGTGTATTACCTGTTTGGGGTGTTTATTTGCGACACCGCAGTATTGATAATCAACAGGAAACATCAGACTTTCTAAACGGATTGCTCACAAGGATCTCAGGATCTACTCTGGATCAGCTGTGCTCGGCAAATCCCAAAACTTGCTGGGGAAAAGCCTTCGGGCCAGATCCAATACGTTTTGACTGACGAAAATAAATATTAGATCTGTGAAATCAAACCGAATTTATATTCTGGCTGTAAAGTTTAGATTCGTAAATTTGACAGACTGTTTTAAAGGGCATAAGTACAGAAAATAATAGTAAAATATTTTTTGCCCAAATTCAACTTGAAAGTTACCTGTCAGAAGTGGTTAGAAGTCTGCTGTTTTCTCTCCTGAAGCGTGTCCTTTCAGTTGTCAGTTTTAAAAGGTTAATATAGAACAAAAGAGCAGTGAAATTAGCTTTCCTTTTATAGCTTTGTGCCTTTCTTTTCATAAAACCCCAGGTTTGGGAAACGGAACAGCAGGTCTGGACTAACTCCCTAAATAATCTCTTGCTCCTCCTCACCTTGCTTGGAGCACCGATCCCAGCATCTTTCCTGACTTCAGAGTGGGGAAGCATGAATTCCTGTTACTTAGTAGGTCCTTGTTTACTCCCCAGTGGGTGTATAAGGTTGAGCTCTAACTGAGGTTCTGCCCCTCTGCACAGTAAGGCAATGGAGAATTTGAGGGGGAGGGGACCAGCTATCAGCTGAGTTTTGGTGTCCTCACCTCCCAGGGAAGGGCAAATGGAGGGTGAGTACTCATTGGGTACACCCACTCGCTGCTTCAAGGGCAGCGAGTAGTCTACACCTTGCAGATAAAGCTCACATCTTGAATAAAAATTGCAAGTACACTTAGGCCTGAATCAGTCACCTCCCAGGGTGTTTGTGTGTGTGTGAGTTAATGGTTATGTAGTTTGGACAGAAGCATGCTAGAATTAACGTGTGTAGGCCAGGAGTGTATGTCTCAGTGACATGGACCATAGTGGATCTTGACTGGAGCACCTGGCTCTGCCCTCGTACATCGTCTGTCTCCATTACAGCCTAGGTAAAATTTATTGGGGGGTGGGGGGGATGGGACTCAGAATGCTGATCCTCAGCTCACACAACAGCTAAGAGTCCATGTTCCGACCCCTGTATTTACAAACACAAACCCTTAAGACGGTAAGGGGAATTTCTTATTGGGGGGGGGGAACCAACTTTCAATTGAGCGTTGCTGTTCTATCCCCACCTCCCAGGGAAGGGGGGCCTACATTGAGGGGAAATAACTTTTGCATCTTATTAGCAAGAGTGTTTTATTGTTTCAGGATGTCATGGACCTGAGGAGGCCTGGTCTCCAGTATCAGCAACGTATGCCGTTTGATAACTGGCCCATTCCAGTAGTGTCTGCTCTGTAGTCGTATGATCCATGTCTAACACCCCCCCCCCCCCCGTGTGTGTGTGTGTGTGTGTGTGTGTGCGCGTGTGTAGTGAGGGAGGGCAAAACAAGTGTTTAATGTTTCAGTGTTCAGATAGGCTTCATGAGGTTAGCTGAAATGCAGTCTTATCAGCTGGAGAATTTATCTGCTTGCTGTGAGGAGAGAAGGAGGAATAGTGAGGTAGGGACCCGAGTGAATTTTCTCGCTTGCAAGCTCTAATGTGGAGACAGGGTGCGGCTGACCAAAATAGTTATCCATCTTTGGCCAGGAGGAGGCCTATAAAATATTTTAGGCAAACCAGTGATCACCGTGTACTGAGTGTTAAGGCACTGCTCAACCCCCAGGCAGAGAGGAAGAGAAAAACAGTGTGAAATGTGAGCAGGTGGAAAAGGAAAAAAGGAAAGATCCAAGAAACATTTTATCAACATGTCGAATACCAACAGATCAATTCAAGACCCATAAGTAGCAGTTTTGGATGCTACTTCTTGAAATAGAGTGCAAGTAGGCTTCTTTGTCGCAAACGCACGAGCTTTTCATATTCTCTGTGTGGTTTACGGCAGCTTGCATGGGTGAACTGAGATAAGTACCACTTCCAGAAATATAAGATTCTTACCTTGATCGGTTGAATGGCTGAATTTCTGCAAATGTACACTAGTTTGTTTTATAAAGTATTTCAATTTTATTTGTTGGAGTGGCCTCTCACATCTGGCAGCTTCTCTTACAATGACTACTTGATAAAGTGATTGATGCATTCAGTTTGGGAGATTTTTATCGCAGCTCTCAATAAATAAAGCAAGACAAGCATGGCACCATGAAATGTTAGCCCAGCTCATGTATCTGATGAAGTGACCCCTGACTCAGAAAAGCTGCTGGTGGAACAAATATCGTTCATCTTTATGGTGCCACTCCTTTTAAAATTTTGGTTCTGTAGAATATTAAGGCTTCCCACCTGGAATTATAAGCATGGCCTGGCTCATCTTATTGGCAGGGAATGTGTACAAGCAATTCAGAGTATCCTAATTTTCCCAGGTTGAGCTGAAAAGGAAATACAATGATCAGCACTCAAAAGCGAGGGGCCTTTTGCCAGGTAGCCAGTGGTATGAAATACAGGCCTACCGAGCTCTCAACCAAGCCCTTGGCCGGTGAGTACATTTTTATCTTCTTGATTTATAAGCTATATTCAGATATTTACTTGCCATCCTTCTAAAACTGGGTCAAAAGCCGTGATCAGTTTGAATTTCTCTGTTTATATAAAATGTGTTGTCTGTCCTCATAATTAATATTTCTTGATACGTATCTTAATGCCAATCATGTAGGGTTGGTTGTTCATCCATCAGGGGGAAAGAAGGCTATGGTCAGTTGACTGGTCAAATAATTGGGTAAGTATTTCTGTTAGAACAGCAGAAAAGATACTTTAGCCATCAACAGGTTTGATGCTTAAATAAACAGATATGTTAGCTTATTGTGAAGCAACGACATTAACGTCACAAAATTGTAACAGATTATTCTAAACATTTAGCAATGTTAGTTAAGCTTTCTCTAAACAAGAATATCTCACTGAAGATATTTCTCTTTGACTTTTATTGTGGAGCACTTACAGTTTCATATCAGTAAAAGAAATTCAAAACAGATAAAACAAAGTTGCAAGAGCTGTTTAAAAATAAAAGGCAGTAGTTAAAGGCTAACTAGGCAGCAGGCCAAACTCTTCCTTTTGGGAGGTCCCTACCGTTATAACGGGAAGCCAACGGGCAAAGGTTTGCTATACTGGCAGCTGTCACCTCTCTCCTTCCTGGCAGTTAACAGCATAGTTAATTTTTTTAATCTTCACAGTGGCATTCTCATCTTTGTGGAATAATTGATAGTATAGGACCTTGGTCAAACCAAAAGTGGTCAATCAAAAGGTATTTGACTGGACTGTCAACCCTACAATATTGTGTCAGGTGCTGTACTGAACTGGAGAGGAAGTGTAGTCCCTACAGAAGATCCTTAATCTGCTTTGACATGGTGGCTACTCCCATGCCCAATAAAAGGGTCCCATGAGAAAGAAAAGAATTGTAAGTATTTACATAGCATACAGTACATGGTACTTCATAGAGTAGCATGAGCAGAAAATATATATCCCTGCCCTGAGGAGAGTTTACAATCTATATTTCCCTGTGTGGCTTGTTGGCATGCCGCAAAACAAAAATTATTATTATTATTTTAAATGTTCTTATGCCACCTTTTTACCCAATTGGGGTCCCCAAGGTGACAAACATAAAAAAAAATTGAACAATTAAAAGCAATAATTTCATGAAAACACCTAGTGAAAAACACCAGGACCAGGGGTGAGGAGCAATAACCATTACTGGGGATAAGACAAAAAAGGTGTTCCAAAGTTTTGGTGCCCTTTCTTGGATCACCACTTGTCCCCCCTCAGATGGTGCGGGGGCAACTGAAGCAGAGCCTCCGAAGATGACCAGAGTGGATGGATAGGTTCCTTCTGAAAGTACTGATCCAAATCAAACTGGAAGAGGACAAAAGAGGACAGAGCATGTTAAAAGAACAGCAAGCATAACTAGGTGCGGATGGAAATGATTTTGCCTCCTGGAACTAATAATGTAATTCATTTGAAAAACCAGTGTCCTGTGTCCCAGATTGCACCAGGCAGTTCTGTGATTAATCAACATGGCCACTACCACAAAGCTGGGGGCAGAACCAGATAACAAGGCAATTTGCAAAGTAGACTTCAAGGATTCTGAAGCTCTGCGCCTGCAGCGTCCTAATATCTGAGCCATGAAATACGCAGTAAATAGTTTTTTTCTAAATCCTTTTGTTATATTGTAGAGCTGTGGCTCAGAGGTTAAGACACTGAGCTGCAGACCGGAATGTTGGTAGCTCAGCAGTTTGTGACCCTGGTGCTGCATGACAGAGTGAGCTCCCATCTCTGGACCCAGCTCCTGCCAACCTAGCAGTTTGAAATCAAGAAATTGCAAGTAGATAAATAGGTACCACTTCAGTGGGAAGGTAACAGCATTCCATGCACCTCGGTGTTTAGTCATGCCAGCCACATGACCACGGAAAAGTCTTCGGACAGCACTGGCTCTTCGGCTTGGAAATGGGGATGAGCACCACCCCCTAGAGTTGGATTCGACTGGCTTTCGAGCAAGGGAAACCTTTACCTTTAATAATGCCTTGGTGTTTTTAAAACTAGTTTTGTATATCTGGGACTGGAGTTGCCTCTATAGATAATATGAATATTTAGCTGATCTGTCTAAAAACAAAACAAAAAACCTGAAGTTGCTTTAGAAAACCAATATGTTGGCTTAGCAGAACATTTTACTGGAAGAGGAAGACAGGCCATGCGCATTGCTCTTTAGTATTTCTATCAAGCTTATGAAGAAGGCCATTTTTATTTGACTAGAGAAGAAGATAATATATTAATACTTAAAACTATTACAACTATTTATTATTGTTACCTACAGTGACTGGTGTTGTCCAAATAAAGTCATAGGGTTACAATACAAAAGACTAGACCCACAAGGAATGGAGGAGAAAAGTAGAGGGGGGGAGATGAGCTGGAGAATGCCAGGGCAAAGAGGAGAATCTTTTGTGGTGGTAGAAAGTGCCCTCAAGTCACAACTGACTTATGCCCTTAGGGCAGAGGTGTCGAACTCATTTGCTACGAGGGCCAGATCTGACATAAATGTGACTTTGTCGGGCCGGGCCATGTGTGCCGTAAAACCAGGTACTGGAGATACAAACTTTATAAAGGGCAGTAGCTGGTAAGCTCCGAGGTGGTGTGTCCTCACTGCAAGGCCCTAAGGGGTGAGAGAGGTGCAGAGGAAAACCCACATGGGCAGACTGGAGAACCAGCCCGTTCCCGCCACCAATGCTGTGAGCTGGGGCTCCGGGGTAAAAATGCGAAGATCCTGAGCGTTGCGAGCTCCCCTCTGCCCCTGAGCCACCATGGAAGGGGACTGGGAAGACAAGTTGAACTAACCCCTCTGCAGTGGCCCAGGCCCAAGACCACATGTATGGCAGGACCCAGGCCAAGTGAAGCCCAATAAGCTGGAGACACTTGTGTGACAGCAGCCACCTCCAGCAAAGGCCACCAGGGAGATCCATGGTGGGGCAATGTTGGGGGGCTCAAGCCAGAGATCGTCAGCAAGCTGCACCACCCCGATGTGGCATCAGCTGCCCCAGGCCAAAGGCCACCAGATCATATGATGGGGGGAGTGGGCACCACATGCACAAATGCCATGGTAGTGGCAGAGGTCCTGGGCTACCCAGTGACCAGTATAACTGGAAATCGCCAGCACCGCCCACTCATGAGGTGGCAGCCACCTACGGCTGAAGGCCACCAGGTGGTCCATGGGGGAGGGAGGCCTGGCTGCCTAGTTATGTGCTCTGTGGCAGGACTAGGCCCCCGATATGTGGAAGAAGCTGCCAAAGAATCCCCCCCCCCCATGGGCCAAAGCACAGCCGCTGCATGAGGCTTTTGGGAATATGGCGGTGCTAGCCTCTAGCAGGCCAGAGCAGAGGATTGTCTACACACACCCTCTTACATGCAAATGCCGATCCCCACGGCCATCTGACACAGCATTCCCAGAGCTACGGGTGGATCAGAGAGGCATGCGGCCTCGCCTTAGAACCCTGAGCCAGCATGAATGTGGCTCCATGGTGACTTCTGACTTACCAGTGAAGCTGCTACCGAAGCAAAGGGGCTCTGCTTGACTGCTGCAGGCGAGGTTGTTCCGCCATACTGAAGCCACAATCGGAGTGGCTCCACTCACCTCCACCCCCACCCTGAGCAGCCTCCTGTTCCCACCCTCACACCAGTTGCTTGCGAGCCAGCTAAGAGCCCTGGGTGGCTGGTTCTGGCCCCCAAGCCCAGGGGGGGCTTAGGGCTTTCAAGGCAAGAGATGCACAGAGGTGGTTTGCCATTGCCTGCCGGTGTGTAGCAAGCCTGGGCTTTCTTGGCGATATCCCATCCAAGTGCTAACCGGGACTGGTCCTGGTTGGTTTCCAAGGTCTGATTAAATCAGGCCAGATGTTTTAATCCAGTTGGGACTAGACTGGATCTTGTCCTGCTGGAGGAAGGGAAGGGTGGTGGAACTTCCAAGTAGCCCTTGTCCTGTGGCTGGGGACCACGGGAAGAGCATCCATTCGCTTCCTTCTGCAGCCCCAATGCAACTGGCCATTGGAACAGAGTTCTTTCTCTCTTTTGATGGGTGAGAGAAAACTGGGGCAATCGGGTCTCTGATCCCTACACTGTGGATCAGGAGGACTAGCGTGTTTCTGCTGCTGTTTCTCATGGCTGTTTCCCATCTTCCAGCCACTCAGCGTTGTCTGGGGCTCAAATCCAAACACCAGAGTGCTTTATCACTCCATAGGTTCCATTAATAGGTTCCTGCTGTAAGGCTCACCTAAGCGAATTATAGGAAAGCTCTGTCAAGTTGGGATTGCAGGGGAGCTACAGGATTGGACCCAGACTAAATTTTCCGCTAGTGGAAAACACTTCAGTAAGCGGAACAAAACTTCCCTGCCTTGCCTCTTCCTCTGCAGCCTATTGGTTTCCCTGGAATGCTGCTCATGGGAAAACAAGGCACCCTCAAGAATGGCCTGAGGGGCTAATTGGGGATCTGCAGGAGGAAGGGGTAAGTGTGGTAAATTATACTTCCCCATCCATTAGCAGAAAAATCCGTCTGAATCCAGCCCATACATTTGGCAGACTTGGCACCCTTCCCATGACCCAGAGTACTGTGGATCTCCAGTGGTAGGTAGCACCTAGAAAATGCCTTCTCTGTAAGAAATCAGTCATCAGAATCTACCAGGGGTGTAGCCAGGCTGTTAAATTCAGCTCTAGTCCAGGGCTACAGGTACAAAGTGACCTCTTTTGTGAAGTACGGAGTATGTCACAGGTTTTCTTTTGCATTCGAAGTATCAGCTGACCACAGTCTCCTATGAAGATGGAAGTAAGCGAGTTTTAATCCCAGGTGTGGCATTTTAGTGTTGCTGTTGCAGTATATGGAGTAATGCGAGTCCATGAAACGCGATCACCTTTGGGGTAAGGGAGGAATAGGCCAGATGTTGCGCATGGCCAGGTGACAACTCTGCCATGAAATCTGGCAGCGTTGCTTTACTTGAAAGGGGTGAGATATGTCTCCAGTGGCCCTAATGCGTTTATTTTAACTACACAGTTGCTAGAGCAGTGGAAAAACGAAAGGGGGAAGGAAAATGGTTTGCTTTCCCTGCCTCCCCCCTCCCACACACCATTGATGAAAGGTTCAAAATAAAGCCACTGGTGCATTTTTTAAGGCAAATGGTATAAAATCTAGTTTCTGATCTGAGGATAATCTAGAAGATGCTTTTGCGCAAGCCCCAGTACGGAAGAGCATTGGGGGGCTCTACCCACAGAAATCCCTGGTGGCTTCTGCTTAGTGGCAGAGTTGTAATACTTTTTAAAAAAAATTATTTTGGTGCTGATTATTCCTGCATTATCCCTGCTCTTCAGCAAGCACATAGGTGAAGGCACGTTTGCTATAAGTTTTTAAGGTAAGGAAACATGAATGCATCTCTCTTGAGGGTCAGCAGCACAGCATGTGCTAGTGCTGGAATACAGGCTCAAAGCAGGCATGAACTCGGTGATCAGGGAATGGATCCCTCCATTCACAGTGGGAAGAGAAGGGATTTTAACCATTCTTCCACAGTTTCACAGATCTGAAACTGACCATTACCACTCATGGTCTGCTATTATCAGTCAACTATAATTTCATCCCAGACTTTTCTCCAAGTAGCTCAGGGTGGTATCTGTGGTTATCTGGTTAAGAACAGCAAACTCTAATCTGGAGAACCGGGTTTGATCCCCCACTTCTCCACATGCAGCCAGCTGGATGATCTTGGGCCAATCACAGTTCTCTCAGAGCTGTTCTCTCAGAGCTCTCTCAGCCCCACCTACCTCACAGGGTGTCTGTCGTGGGGAGAGGAAAAGAAGGAGACTGTAAGGTGCTCTGAGACTTATCTGCCGTCACACAGTGAAGATCCTTGTGCTGTGGTGGCAGTTTCTGCTGAAGTAACTTTTTTTAAAAAAATCTGGACATCCAATCATATCTCCAGTGGCCAATCAGAAGCCTTGCTGGGCAGAAGCCCCACCTGGCCCCACCCACTTTCTAAAGACACTTGGTGGGCGTGAGGAAAGGTGTCAGCGGGAACCGTGGTGGTGTCCACGGGGGCACTATGCTGGGGGGGGGCCCTGCTCTAACCACTCATAAACTCTAGCAAAGTGAGTTTCTTCCCTTTCGTGGTCAGTTTCGTCAAATAAAATTACACAGGGAGAAGGCTTATACTGCACCGTGGCTAACTCTGAATCGAGACACTCTTGGCCAGGAAAGTCCATCCATGCATCTACCGGTGTAGTGCCTGTTTCGGCCCCCATGTCTTTGCTTTTGGCCTTGCAGTAGCCTCACAACAATTGTGCTGGGAAGCAAATTGTTTATAGGCTTTGACTTGACACTGGGGGAGGGGCGAGTTCTGTTTTGAGTTTGGTCTTCCTTTTCCTTTCTCTCCTTCACCCCTTTCAAAACCGTTTTAAGGTAGTAAAGAAGATGATCGCATTTGCTCTTTTCTCGTTTCTTCTGTTTTAGGTGCATTCGACACAGGAGTGACTGGGGCGCCCTGATTTTAGTTGATGACCGCTTCAGACGGAACCCCAATAAATACATAGCCGGTAAGATAAAATCAGCGCTATAGCCATCCTGCTAAGGAACAGGTGTTAGGTGCTTTATTTCCAGCCCACAAAAATCTTTGCCCTTCCTCTCAGTTCTGCAGCATAGCAAGCTCCCCGCATCCCAGCTATTTAGTTGAGCAATTTGTCAAATAATAATAAAGCAATTTTTATTTTTATTTTCTTCATTTATGTCCCTTCATTCTCCCCAGTGGGAACCCAAAGTAGCTTACCTCATTCTCCATCATTCTCTTCTGCTCCCTTTTATCCTCACAACAGCCCTGTATGGTAGGTTAGAACTGGTGATCTTCGAGTGGTCATCTGTGCATTCACACCACCCGCCCTCCTTCCCCTCTGCTCTCGGCCCTTCATCTTGTTTCTTTGAAGGCTGTTGGGCGGCGGTCAGAAGGAACTGGCGGGATCTGCGTGCCCCTCCTTGGTCATGCGCAGTGGAGCCGGCGCGTGACCTGGGAGAGGCGCGAAAATCCCTTTTGCTAGCTACCGGTACCGAGAAGGTCAGCGCAGGCGCAGTATATCCCAAGGGTGTGAATGCACAGATGACCACTCGAAGATCACCAGTTACAGGTAAGCAACCTGTCTTTTCGTGCTTTATTTCCAGCCCACAAAAATCTTTGCCCTTCCTCTCAGTTCTGCAGCATGGCAAGCTCCCCGCATCCCAGCTATTTAGTTGAGCAATTTGTCAAATAATAATCAAGCAATTTTTATTTTTATTTTCTTCATTTATGCCCCTTCATTCTCCCCAGTGGGAACCCAAAGTAGCTTATCTCATTCTCCATCATTCTCTTCTGCTCCCTTTTATCCTCACAACAGCCCTGTATGGTAGGTTGGTTTCATGGCATATTTGTAAGTCTCCATTTCTGCCCAAGGTGGTATTAAAACTACAAATATAAAGCAGCAAGAAGCTGTGTGGCAGAATAGTCAATCATACATTTATTTGCAGTTATTAAATTAAACAATGGTGGCAAAAGATCAAGGTGTAAATGGCTGTGGATGCCAGTTCTAGTTAAATGCACCAATTCCCCATTGTTTCCTGTGTAGGTGCCTGTCTCATATTGGATATACATTGTCTCTTAAGGTGTGTCATTTGGGATCTCTTCTCATGTAACGTTGATATCATTTCTATGTAGGTACAAATATATTCCTGAAGCAGAAGTGATGAATGCACAGCGGTCTGTTTTGATGTGGGAAATTGTTATCTGTGACACGGCCCTTGGATTCAGAGCAAATTGTTGCTAACTCTGGCTGGAACAATGTGTTATATATAGGTTGTGTGACTCCTGAAAACACACAGCAATTCCTTTATTGGCATTTCACAGAAATAAAAACATAGTATCTGGGAAATAAAATTCAGATTCTACATAAAATACAATTTCTGTTAAAAGATACCCTGCGTTGAACATTTACAGAATTTTACTACATATAGAAGCAGCAGCCAGTAAAAACTTTGCCACAAGTTCAACTATGTTTTCCTCTGCGCTATTTAAAAGAAATAATAGTTTATTCAGCCTAGGAAAGTCTGAAACACTACCCAAGATTGGTGATAAAATACGTTGCCTGATACCAGAATAATAACAACATTCACACAGTACGTGGTACACTGTTTCAATAGTTTGACCTATACAGGGGCAGAGTCTATTGGCAAAGGGGATACCCTGGAATCTTCCAAATAAAATTGCCAAGGGTAAAACATTAAGCTGACTCCTGAAAACAGCGTCCCTGTGTTCCTCTTCTCTTCTCTATCTCTCTGAAAATGTCCAGCACCACAGAATGCTTGAGATAACATCACGTTATGCAATTTCCCTGCTCCATTTCACCAACTCCCACTCTAAAGGAAATTCAGAGCATTATGACTGTATCACCCATTCTGGTTTATGGTAGGAGATACAGGGCTAATGGTTTCAACATTGGCCATGCATCCTCCATAATGTCCAGGGTATTTATTGGTTTGTTTATATTGCATTTTACAGTCCTGGCCTTTGAAAGCTTCTTTCTTTTAACAGGCCGTAGAAATCTCCACAATGCTTGCAAACGCTAAGCATGTTCTGTTGGCCGTCTACTCCACATTGCAAGGTGCTAACCAGCACTTTACTGTATGTGCTCTCTGATTATAATAGTAAAATGTGCAGGATGAAATGTTACTAGCAAATGGGAATGTCATTAAGTGTTGGTTTTGTTCCTACAGATATAAAATCATGTAGTTTAAAATGCAATGGTGGGTAAATAAAATACAGACCTCATGAAATCCTTATGATAGCTGATGCTGAAATCGTATCAAAACGATTGCCTCAGACCAGGCCATTGCTAAGTACGAATTAGTAATCTCTGGAGAGCTTTGAAGACATGCATATTACACAAGCACTGCTTCTGTAATATTCATAATAACTTGGTCTTATTAATTACTAAAGAGATTCCAAATGGGTATCAGGGTGACTTGTATGCCTAATATTGCATTTGCTTGTTTTTCCCTAGTATAGGTAGCCAGTATGCAGCTTAGCCAGTATATAGAACAGGGACTGTGCTGAATGTTCTCCAGCTTAAACTCTGTGGGTATAAACTAACATTTTTAACGGGGTATTGATTTCTTCTGAGACACTTTGACTGTTTATCTGATTAAGTGAGCCTTGACTCATGAAAGCTTATACCCTGGAAAATTTGGTGGTCTTTAAGGTGCTACTGAACTCAAATTAGATTGTATAAACATGCATTTAAAATACTGTTTCTTTCCCTTTGGCTGCTGCATCTTCCTCCTAAATTCAATCATATGAGTGATATGGTTTGGCTATATCATAATTATGGCATGAAACATTTTGATTCCCATTCATTTCAATTCGCTTTGCACTTTTATCATTATATTCACATTTTCTTTATTTTTGTTTTTTCATAAGTTAAACATTTTGATTCCCATTCATTTCAATTTGCTTTGCACTTCACATTTTCTTTATTTTTGTTCTTTCACAAGTTCATTTGTCTTCTATATTTGTTATCTGTGGAAACTCATTTTCAGCTGTAATTGGACTGATTTCACAAGGTCTTTAGCCTTACTCATGGGACCTTGCCTACCAAATTTCAAGCAGACGGGAGAAAACATCCTCATTTTATAGCCAATATAATTCACGACGTGTTTCCAGCTGTAAATGTTGTTTTCTACCAATCAGTCAGAATGAAATTGGCAGGGACTGTACCCCTCACCCAAGGGATCCTCCCTGGTAAGAGGTGAAAGCTTCAGTTTGTGTTATGTAGCATATGTTTTCTATAGATACCTCACACTGTTGAAAATCAGGTGCTGCTTTGCAACTGGAAGGCAAAGCAACTGACAGAGCTTGTAAAGAGAAATAACTCATCAGGGATAGAAGTAGCAGCAGCAGCTGGAAGGGGCCGTGGCTCAGTGGTAAAGTCTTTGCTTTGCATACAGAGGGGGTCCCAGGTTCAGTCCCCAACATCTTCAGTTAAAGAACCGGGCAGCAGGTGAAAGACCTCTACCTGAGACCCTAGAGAGCTGCCACCAGTCTGAGTAGACTGTATTGACCTTGATGGACCGATAATCAGATTCAGTATAAGGCAGCTTCATGTGTGTGCTTATATAGGATCCAGGAAGCCCTTCCAGAGAGTGCAAATGAGTGGCAGAATGCAGTGCACAGAAACCTCTCAGTACAACCTTCTTTGGTACTGAGATTGATATATATTGTGTTCACAGCTCAGGAGGCCTGTCTGTCACTTGCATTATTTGCCAGTTCCTCTCTCCTTCCTCCCAGCCTCTTTAAACTTAAAGAAGTGTCAAACAACAAGACATTGGCATACCAAGGATTAATAGCCTTCCCTGTTTCCAGATTTGACATAATAACGATGTTCAAGAATACCAAGGATTAATAGCCTTCCCTGTTTCCGGATTTGACATAATAATGATGTTCAAGAATAGGATTTACGTGGTTTGGGTTTGGTTTAGTTGCCATCCCATTGCATACCCCTTGAGGTAGTGCCAGTATACTTTTGTGGAGGGTATTGAAGAATCGTCAAATGGGGACAGGGCTTTTGGATACCATGGAAATAGTTCGTTTATTTACTTAATTTATCACCCTCATTTCTCACTGAGTCTCAAGATAGATTACAGCTAAAAAGAATGCAGTAAGAAACGTACAATAGTTGCAGCTAACAATTACACTGTATTGAAATTATGAACAAAATTAGAGAATGTTGTGCTAAAACCATAATATAATACATACCATAAAGCAGGAGTCACAAGATTGGTGCAAAATGCAGTGAAACTTTATATTGCTCTTGATAAATAATGTAATTACACTGGATTCATTTCATTTCATTTAGAATGGCTGCTGGACTTACTTTGGAAGTTTTAGTAAAGATTATGACCAAATACAAATTTTAAAAATCCACATTTAAGATTGCCTTTTTATATATGAAAAAGTAGAGCTATCTACAGATTTTAAAGACTTTATAGTTGATTAATCATGTCTTTGTATTTAGTTAAAAATAGTTTTGCATATGGCTAAAAATCCGATGCCACACTGGATTACAGAATTGGAAAGCCATGTAATGTATGGTGTTGGCAATAAACGTTTGCGGAAATTTGTAAATGGCTTCAGCTCAGCTCTAATATGGAGGTGGCTAATAGGAAATGGAGCTGCGGTGGCTCAAGTGGTTAAGATGCTGAACTGCAGGCTGTGGAAGGTCAGTAGTTCAGCAGTTCGAGACCCGAGTTGCCGCATGATGGAGTGAGCTCCCGTCTCTAGTTCCAGCTCCTGCCAACCTAGCAGTTCGAAAGCAAGAAATTGCAAGTAGATAAATAGGTACCACTTTGGTGGGAAGGTAACAGCGTTCCGCGCGCCTTGGTGTTTAGTCATGCCGGCCACATGACCATGGAAACGTCTTCGGACAGCACTGGCTCTTCGGCTTTGAAACGGAGATGAGCACCGCAACCCTAGAGTCGGATTCGACTGGCTTTCGAGCAAGGGAACCTTTACCTTTAATAGGAAATACTCTTCTCAGCATGCATTTAATAATCATAGCTGATTTATTAGTCTACCTGTTAATTGGATGTTAGAAGAAGGTGCTCTGAGATCGAGCTGTGAAAGCAAAAGGAGGGGGGGGTGGCAGGCTTAGTCTTTTCTCTTCATGTTTTTGAGTGATCTCAGGGAGAGACAGCAGAACAAATACTGCCCCTGTCTTGTCAGTAGGTGGTGCTCAGATTCTACCGTTTGAGCTACATTGGCCGGGTCCCAAGGAAAGCAGGGAAGTAATAAGACAAGAGAATAAATGGACTCACAATTAGAATCTTGCACGGTAATTTTAGAAGTGGTAAACGGCAACAGTTCTTGCAAGCCATTTATGCCCACAGTATTGATTCTTACTTAAAAAAGAAACTTTTTTTTCACACTGCAGTAAGACTTCTTATATTGGAGAGTACAATAAATATGTATGGATTAATTATGTCAAATCCTGAAAAGTGTTAACTAAGCCATCAGATCAGTCTTTATCAGCATATATGAGTTTACACTGTTTTATCTAAATCATCCATTTTTCTGAAAAAAAAGCATACAAGGAAAATGTGCTGTTTTATTTAAAAAGGTAAATTCATCAGCATTTTATCCCAAAATAAGAGTCTTGCAGCACCTTTAAAGACTGACATCTTTATTACATCTTAAGCTTGCATAGACTAGAGCACACCACCTCTGCTGGTTCATGGTGAATTTATCAAATTCCCTGAAACACTCAGGAAATACACAAGATTGTATATGCAATAGATAAAGTGAAATTCTGGTGCCTGAGTCCAGTTTGGCAACTAAACTTTAGCAGAGCCGTCTTTTGAACTGAGCAAGGGCTGCAGAAGAGCCGCCAGTATTGTTCGGATCTCTTGTAAATCTAAAGCCAAAGGACTTTGAAGCATCACCCTCTCCATTTATACCAGGACTGAGGCCTTTGGCGGAGCCCTGAGGCGCTTACTCCCATTTGTGGGCAGGAGTGAACAGCTGAGTTGCATACTGGCAGAGCCCTGGGAGAGCAGCTGTCCATTCCTTTGAAATGGGGCTAAGGAGCAGGGAGCTTGGAATGAGAGGCTGTGGTGTTTAAATAAAGGGAAGGGTTTTGCACTGCTTCTCCCCAGACAAGAGGCTATCATGTGAAGAGCTGTGTGCCATTGGGGGGGGGGATGCTCAGAGTGTGTGGGGGGGGGAATGCAGAAAAGTGGAAGGAATCCTGCTGAGCTGGGAGCCAAATGGGAAGTCCCTGGGGCTGAATTGAGCTCATGGGTTGCCAGTTGCGCTTGTCCCAGTTCCTAAGATACATCGGGTTGGAGCCAGGCTAAGTGCTCTGCCAACGGAAGGGGGTACAGTAATTTCAACCAATTCTGTCTTCCTTCTGCAGACCCTTAGTTTGTCTCTGATGCCATTCATGGGTAGCCCCTGCCCCCCAGGAGCAGCATTTTGGGGAGATTGCTGGAGTGCAGCGGGAGTAAAGAGGCTGGAATGTTCTGTTGCACTGACAGAGGTGCCTTGCATCGTGGAACTTTTACTCTGGCTCCAACCACATGAGTTGTAGCTTCTAGACTCATTGAATCTCATGGACTGCAGTTTGGAGAACACCTTCCCAAGGATAGATTGGGGGGGAGGGGTGTCGGCATGTTGGTCTGAAGCAGCAGGATGAAGTTGGAGTCCAGGGGCACCTTGAAGACCAGCCAAGTTTTATTCAAGATTTTATTTCGTGTACATGCACACTTCTTCAGATGCACACAAAAACTTAAACCTTGAATAAAACTTTGTTGGTCTTAAAAGTGCCACTGAACTCAGACTTTGCTCTACCTTCCCAAGGAGTAGCACCACTGAATAACATGGGACCTACTCCCAAGTAGACCTACATAGGAACTGTCCTATAGAATCTTAATTGCTATCACAGTAGTAGTCCTAGGAATTCAAATCTGATGACCTGAATTTGTTAGCCTGGTCCAAGAAACAAAATAAATTTTGTTCATTCCAATAACAGGACTCATATACATGCTATATAGTAATGATGCAGACAAATTCTTCTGCTAATGTCCAACTGCATCTTTTCAAAGGACTGTCAAAATGGATTCGTCAGCAAATCCAGCATCATGAACACTTTGAGCATGCGCTTGGTTCTTTGGATACGTTTACTAAAAAAAACCAGAAGGGTGTTGATTCCTCACTTCACAGCAATGCTGAATCTCTGTTCACACCTTCAAGTTTGACGGATCCGTCAACGAGTTCCTTTTTGGAGGCCACTCTGCATCTATCGCCTGATGTTCCTGTTGAAAGAGGAGCACAGAACTTGGTTCCAGAAACATTGTCTGTTGTGGACATCAACATGATTAATCCAGCGATGTCCAGCCAGTCACGCAAAAGTAAGATCCAAAGAACTACTTGGGGCAGATTGGAGGCCAGCACACCTACCCGTCCACTCTGATTCTCTCCAGAGCCCTATGTCAGGTGCCCCTGCCATCTAAGGCTATACAGGCGGCAACCTAAAAAAAGGTCTTCTCAGTCATGGCTCCCAAACTTTGGGACTCCATCCCCAGGGAGATTTTTCTGTCCCTTTCTGTGTTGTCTTCTGCCGGTGGGTGAAGACTTCTTTGTTTTCTTTGGCGTTCCCTCACTAACTCATGGCAGCACGCCTTCCTCTTTGTGTGTTAATGTGTGTTCAGAAGTTTTACTTAATTGTTTTAAAGGTTTTATATACATAAACATTGTTTTAATGTTGAAACGCTTTAATGCAGGGGTCTCCAACCATTTTGAGCCTGTTGATCCCTTGGAATTCTGACGCAGCCTGGTGGGAGCAGCCACAGAATGGCTGCCACAAAACAGCTGCTGCAGGAGGCAGAGCCAGCCACACGACGACTCCCACAGCTTACCCTCCGTCACACAGTGACGATCCTTGTGATGTGGCAGCAGCTGTTGCCAGTGTTTTTAAAAATGTGCACGGTCAGTCAGATTTCCAGTGGGCAATCAAAACCCTTCCTGGGCAAAAGTCCCACCTGGCCCCACTTTGCAAAAACACCTGGTGGGCTCCAGGAAAGACATCCGTGGGGCCCAGGGGCACCATGTTGGGGACCCCAGCTTTAATGGTTTGCTGTCCACCACCTTGGGGACCCTATTTGGGTGGAAAGGCAGCAGAGAGGTATTTTAAGGGTTTGGGGTTTTTTAGATTAAGAAAATTAAACAAAAGATTTAAAGGCGTTTCCTCAAGCTTACTTGTGGAAAGTTTCTGCTCACATCCGAGGGCTGTCAGCCCCATGCTTTCTCACTGCAGCCTCTCATGCTCCTTCCCTCCCCCGGGTGGCTCCAGAAGCCTGTCCTGAGCGGAATTGTTGCCAGACAGGAAATTCTGTGTGTGTGTGTGTGTGTGTTTAGATGCACCTGGGCGCGCAAACACCAAGCTTCTTGTTCTTTAGTGAAATGAATGGAGTTAACCATGTTTTAATGACTTCTCAGTAGCAGTATTTTTTCAAAGGGATGTCAGCTTACTATGGGCAGTTGTATTATTACATGTCAGTCCAGTTTCTTCAAAAGTTATAACCTACAAAAAACGGAGCACAGCTTTGGGGAATGAAAGTCCATCAAATTATGCTGCCATAATTCTGTGAATGAAAAACGACAAAGGTTGTTCTCCAGTGGTTCGGATGCTGGGACAGTCTGTACAATTGGGATAAGCTCCGCCCCTTCCTGCAGGGTCGGCTCCGATCTTTGATCCCTGTGAGGCGGGGCTTATCCTCTGCAGCTTCCTCAGTTCTTGCCGGCCCTGCTTACCAGCAGGACGTGCTCCGGCAGTGCTCATTTGGAGCGCCTAGGTTTTACAGGAAGAAAAAGAGAAGAAAGAAGAGCCGCCGCAGTGGCAAGGAGTAAGGCCGAGTGAACCTGAGCTGGGTTGTCCCCGGCTTCGGCGGAGCTCTGAAAAAGCCCTTGGCGTTCGTCCGCTGGCCTTACGCGACCTACAGACAGAGGGCCTCCCCCTTCGCTGCTCCGGGGATGTGGAGGAGCCTGGCTGCACGACGTATCCACGTTGAGGCGTTAGATCGCCACAGCACAAAGGAACAAGGAACAACCGTTCCCGAGGGAGGTGGTGAGTTCGAGGGGTCCCGGAAACCCTTCCCGAGCAGTTTTGGCGCCTCGGGGACTGAAACCACCACGGCACAGGGCTAGGGCTTTGCTAGTCCTGGAGCCTCTGATTTAGACCGAGCGGGAGACTGGTCACTTGGAACCTCGGCAGAGGGGAAAGGAAGGCTGCAGGCTCACCTTTGACACACCATGCTTGGAGTGTTAAAGGGGGGGGGCTTTCTCAGAGAGAGCCTAAAAATTGTTATCAGCCTGAGCCTCAGAATCATGCCTCCTCACACATGTGGATTAGGCTGTTCATTTGGGTGAGCTAAAATGGCAGCCATTTTAACTCAACCTGAAGAGTTTCACTTTCGTTTCTTCCACAGATTGGTACAAGATGGCTGATCAAGCTAAAAGGGAGGCTACTCCAGACAGAGATAGTTCCCTAAGTGAACTCAGTTTTCCCAGGTTGTCTGTTTCCCTGGCCAGTCAAGATACAGTTCATCCAGATTTGGATCCTAGGGAACAAGAAAAGACTGAACTGATGTCCTGGTTTAGGTCAGAAATGAGGAAGGGTTTTAAGGATATGGTAGACACCCTTCAGGGAGCAGGGCCCTCTAAGACTTTATTAGTTAAAACAGACCTCTTAAGAGGTCAAAATACTGCAAAGATTTTTTATCCAGTTCTGGCTCTCCTCCCAGACGCAAACGCAAGAGAGATCAGTTTTCCTCTGTTAAATTCAGCCACCAGCTGGGACGTAAGGAGTTAGTGTCCCAGTTCTCGGATTCTTCCTCTGAAAGGGAAGAAGGGGAATTATCCGAGGAAGAGGAGGAAGTTATGCCACTGGTACAGTCCAGACTATTCCCTCAGGAGTGTTATTCTAAACTACTACCTAAGGTCTTAAGAACTCTGGATCTTTCATCCAAACCTAAAGTTGTAGAGGAACCAGGCTCTGAGTTCCAATCGGGTGCCAGCAATCTAATGCCTAAATTATCTAAGGTGCAACCAGGGCTTCCAGCTTCCTTTTTTAATATTATGAAGGCTGAATGGGAGCAGCCGGCAAATTCCACCGCCGCTTCTTTATTTGCTACGGCAGCATATGACTGGGCAGAAAACTTGGCTTCAGCTGGGAGTAATATCCCTAAGGAGTTCAAGGACGAACTAAAGAAAATTGCATTAACTATAACGTTTTCTGCTGATGCATCATTGGACGCCTTACAGTTGTCAGCTAGGGCCATGGCATGTAGCATTACTGCCCGCAGGAATACTTGGCTACAGCTTTGGTATGCTGACTCATCATCCCAGGCCAAGGTGGCTTCGGTCCCTTTCAAGGGATTGGGGGAAGATTACAGCAGTTTTCCACCCAGTGGAACAGGACGATTACAAACCAATGGGTTCTCGACATAGTGAACAACGGCTACAGGCTGGCGTTCTCTTCCAACCCCCCAGTCAGACTAATAAATAAAATGCGAAACACACGAACACGGTCAAACATCTTCAAATTATCACAGCCGTCCAACATTTGTTGGATATAGGGGCAATAGAGTTGATCCCACAGGTGCAAAAAGGACAGGGAGTATACTCAATATTCTTTTTGGTCCCAAAGAGAAATGGGGACACCAGAGCCATTCTGGACCTCAAGAAACCGAACAGGCATGTTCGAGACAGAAAATTCCGGATGGAAACCTTGCGTTCCATCCTACCAGCCATTCAGGAAGGGGATTTTCTAGCTTCAATAGACCTTTCTGAGGCTTATCTGCATGTTCCGAGTCACATAGATCATTGGAAGTTTCTGAGATTCACTTATGCGGGTCGCCACTATCAGTACAGGACTCTCCCATTCGGGCTCAAATCATCCCCAAGAGTATTCACCAAAGTTCTGGTCACTCTCGTAGCAGCTCTCAGACTAAAGGGGATAGAGTTATTTCCTTACCTGGACGCCATTCTTATCAAGGCGACATCGCAGCAGGGGTGCATACAGGCGTCTCAAATCACAGTGAGTACGCTACAAAAACACGGGTTCGTAGTGAACCTAGAGAAAAGTCATTTACGACCCACACAGAGGCTGATTCACTTAGGTGTGATAATAGACACAGTAGCGGACAGAGTTTTTATTTCCAAAGAGAGGGAAAGCAAGATTGTATGTCTTTTTGTAGAGACATTAAAACAGGACAGGAC